CAATCTGTCGCCAGTAGTTGAGCACGGATTGGAAGTCTTTGGCGTAATACAGTTACAGTTGGTGTTTTTATTAAAGGTAATCCTAGAGTGATTGGGAATATTATTATCGGGCGGCCAGGAAAGGCGGGTAATCCATGAAAATAAAATGCAAATGGGCGGGCTTTAAAATTTTTATTTTGTGTCGGCCCAACCGACAAAAGAAATAGCTGGGAAATTTTAAAATAAGTAGTGTCGATTAAACTGACATAAATTTTGCGTGGGGCAACACGACACTAGTTCATTCTTAGTTTTCCACTTAAACGTGTTGGATAAACATTCACAAACATATTTTTAGAATTATAAAAGCAATTTACCAAAATATTTACACATTTTATCGTCACTTGGACTAACATAAAAAAAACTAAGTTATTTGTGTCGGTTTAGCCGACACAAAATTGTGAGGGCCGCAAGCCCCACACTAACATTGGCAGCTAATTCAATTATTCTAGTAGTGGGTACAGACATGTCACCCAGCTTGTCATTAAAGATGATTGTTCTTGTAAGTATGATGATTCATCCCCTCTAATCTCTCCTCTATACCCCCACTCTTACCCCCTTTCCCCACCCCTAGTCCCTCACTCCCTCTCTTTACATTGAAAGTATATGCAGTACATTGCCAGGATAGCAAGTGGGAGGTGAAGGTTTAAGGAGAGGGCTATGAGGTATGAAGTCTATGAACTACTCCCTCCGTCTTTAAATGTAACCAATGCTTTAACTTCACACAATTTAAGGCAAGGTCAAAAATAGCCAATTTGTGTCTAAACTACCCCTAGTTGTTCCTTTTACCCTGAAAGTATATGCAGTATAAAAGCAGGCTTAGATTAACTGAAAATGAAAGGAAATGTAATGTTGATTTACTATCCAAAACTTTGCAAGGTAATTCAACGCAAATAGGTGGACCATTCACACGTTGTGGATCAAAACAAAACAGTAATTTAGTGCAAGGTTACCCATTAATATGCAGGGATAAAGGTAGTAATACTAATTACATCTCATGTCTCACATTATTTAAAATATATTAGAACTCATTAAATTTGTGATATTGTATTTCAAGAGTACATTCCGTTTATTAGGGTTGAAATTCATTTACTTTCACAAATGGAAATATTTTATTAGAATATAATAAAATAATGATTATCAAAGTAAAACTTAGTATATGTCAAAATACTAAAATTTAGAGTATATTTTGGATAATATGAGACCTATAAGTCTTTATTAGAAAATGAAGGATATCGTGAAATATTTTTTTAAATATGGAACTAGGAGTTTTTAACAAAAATAAATCAATGGTATCCTAGAGTTATTTTCTGATGTGATAATCCTGTGATTTGCCTAACCAC